AACAGTTCCATACACTCGACGGCAAAACACTGCTGGACAATTTTAGATGCCCTCCGCCACATGTTTGAATCTGTTCCACTTAAAAGTCCAAGAGGCAGGAGGCGGAGCCTAACCCCGCGAGTGAATGGCCGCATAAACTCTGAGCTCCGCCGCGGCCTAGCCTGAAACCACCGCTATCAGCAGCACCTGAGCCCCGAAAACACCCCACGTTCCCCCCCCCCCTATACCCACACTCACCCTCCCCATGGGCGGAGGGAAGAAAGCCCGCAACTCCTCCGTTGCACCGATCTTCAGGCAGAAGCCTGAACAACAGCGGGCGCCATCTTTGGAGCCCCTCCCGTCGGACTCAGACTCCGAAATGAGCAGCCAGGCACCCTCGGAGAGGACGGAGGCACCGCTGACGAGGAGGGACATGCAGGGCTTCCTGGCTGACTTCAAACAATCTGTGGCCGAAGAACTGGACAAACGTCTTTGCCCCATACTAGAAGGTATGGCAGACCTGTCAGCCCGTGCACAGGCCGCAGAGGCCAAAATGGCGGACACAGAGGAGATCGTGCAGGCCCATGGCAGTGAAATACTGCACCTGAGAGATCAATTACGCTCCCTCGAAGACACCAACGAAGACCTAAATAATAGAACACGTAGGAACAATATCAGGGTCAGGGGCGTCCCTGAATCGGTGTCGCCCAACCTACTCAATGACACCCTCACGGAGGCATTTCAACACCTCCTACCGGAGGCTACAACAGCTGACCTACTGATGGACTGGGCACACCGAGCCCTCAGAGCCCCAAGCACCAACGCTGCCGTACCCAGGGACATAGTGGTGCGCCTCCACTTCTATCACATCAAGGAGCGCATAATGCGCGCAGCCAGGGATACCCCCATCGAGGTAGAGGGAGCGCCAGTACAACTATATCAAGACCTGGCTCCCACCACCTTGAAACGCCGAAGAGAACTACGCCCACTCACACAACACCTAAGCAGCCACGGCCTCCGCTACGCGTGGGGTCACCCTTTCAAAATAATTATACGCAAAGATGGCAGGTTCCACTCCCTCACAAGACCGGAAGAGATCCCTGCGCTTCTGACCCAGCTGAACTTACCGCAAATCCCAGAAACACCTCACTCTAACGCCGAATCCTCAGCACGACAACCACCGAGCAATAACCCGCCCGCCAGGACCGGTGACCGTCCCCATCGCAACACGGCACTGCAGAATCCAGGCGCAACACGTTAGGAGAACCTGAGGGTTGGGGGGACGGTGGCGTTGACACATCTATCCGACCCCGCGTCCCCTACACCCCACTCTCACCCCAGCTTGCCTTGTCTCACCGGCTCCCCTATGCCCCGCCGGACCCACCAACAGCCAGCGACAAGCACAGACATATTATACAGTTGCATCGCTGCACAGAAGGCGCTCAATCCGGATCCGGGGAAACCAGCACCACTTAGACCACTCAGACAGCACAGAACGACCCTGACCACAACCAAAGGGCGGAAGACGCACCAGCATGGACAGGCCCCGGCGAGCTCGGCGACAACACCCCAACGCCGAGCCTACCCCCGGCTCCAGCCCCAGAGCACACCCGACATCGCCCGGACTCCCAGCGGCACCACAGGAACATATCCTCAAGGCCACACCATCACAGGCTACACCAAAGTTTCCAGCACCGAGGAACATGCACAGAGACAATCCCCCCGACACGCCGATTGACATGAACGGGAGAAGGCATCAACTGACGGGCGAAATTGCCTCCCCGCCTGACAAGACTCTCCTCTCCGGCACCTCCCTCCCGGGCACCTACCACCACAGGACCCCATCACCATGAGACTCTATGCCTTGGACATTGGGCCGCACACCGCAAGTATGGTTTAAAGGGGGCAGCATACACACGATCCCCTAAACATCCTGTGAAGCGCTTATCGCCCACAGACAACCTCCAACGGGGCGGACAGGGACCCAGAAGTTGGGATGGGGGGGGGTTCCGGGGGGAGGGGGGGGTGACGGGAATGACGGGGCGACGGGGGACCGACAAACCCGCCCCTCCGGCATGACCTGCACCCCGCACTCTGACTGACGGAGACCATACACCGGCAGCAACCGCTGACCCCCCCATCCCCGACCTCCCGACAACAGGCACATGACCGATACCATGGCCCCACTAGCCCTACACATGCCAGACGGGACAAGGAGCCAGGGACGCTCCACACACATGACTCACGGACAAGGGACAAGCACCACCATCACATGCACAGCGCATGCCCACATCAAGCACGACTAGCCGGCAGCAACCACACACAACACTGCCCCACCTGCTCCCAGGCCTCACACACACCCTGATCAAAGGCAGACCGACCCCTAACCAGTTGACCGGACGCCGAACCGCAGACTAGGTATAGACGTACACGACCGCTCTTTGGATAAACCGTGGACCTACGGGACAATTCCTACATGTGATAGAGAGCACCAGCTCAGACCACTGCTCCCTCTGACCCCCCCTTCCTTTTTTTTTTTTGATACCTCTGCTCAAGGCATTAACAATTTGTTCAAATGTTATAACGTTATAATGTTGCATTGTAAATGTATGCATGTTTTACACAGGAACCGGCTGTTACCCGCTCCCACAGACCACGACACACACTCTGAACCTCAGACCGCGGAGGCACAACCAGGCCCTCTTGAGAGCCGATAAGGCCGCGATAGACAACCCACACTCCAGGCCATCTCACCACCACCCACGACATGAGGTAACCCCTCCACTGCCCCTTCCGGACACACCCTACTGGCAAATCAGAGCTTTAATAGGACAGAACTCGTCCCTATGGCATGCATACGCACCCCAAAATAGGGATATACGCGCACGCAGGACCCACACACAAAGGGACACCTGACACACACACATACAGGGATAGCGATATCCGGCGGGTACACCACCCAGAATTTTTGATACACCCGCCTCACGAAGAGAATGCACACGCCCGCCACACGACGGGACACACACCCAAAAGCCCTCATACACCACCCATCCAACCCCAGGCTCAGCCACAGCAACAGGACCATGGGCAGGCCGTGGGCGGAACCTGCCACCACTTGTGTACACCCCTTCCCACCGGCCTCGATACTCCCGAGGACTGCCGCGCGGACCTTGGGACGGACAACCGAGGCCCCCGCCTAACCTCGACTGGCCAGTTTGATAAGCCCAGTCCCTCACACACCGCCCCCGCAGGGCGTCAGCGGCGACCCGAAAGACCCGCGCGGGCGGGACCCTACTAACCCACCCCTGCTACCACCCTCCACCACCCCTGCCGACCCCACCCAGACTCGACTGCCCAACGCACCCCGAACGGACGCCTAGCTAACCGGCGCCCCTCGCACCACTGCCGGATCGTGACCACCCCCACGCACCAGCATGGCACCGCGGAACCTCCAAATCCGCTTCATTTCCCTCAACGTCAAAGGACTCAACTCGCCAGGGAAAAGACATGGGATACTACGTTGGGCCCACCGCACGGGAGCGGACGTCGTCCTACTTCAGGAAACCCACTTCACCGATCACAAACAGTTCCCGCTACTTAATAGGCACTATAAGAGATATTATTTGGCCAACTCGCCAGAAGCAAAAACGAAAGGAGTTGCAATATTGCTGCGAAACTCGTGCCCTCTGGATGATATACAAACCCGCAAAGACCCCTCAGGGAGATTCCTCTTCCTCACAGGACGAGCGGGCACGACTACACTAACAATATGCTCCCTGTATGCCCCTACCAACCCGGATGCAACATTCTGGAACACATTTAAGACCCACCTCACTAGCCTCTCAGCCAAACACCTAATCATAGGAGGAGACATAAACGCGACCCACACGCCTGCCATAGACCGCAGATCTCAGTCCGGTAGCGCACCCTCCTCGACCAGGAACGACAAATTATATGCAGATTTTCTACTGGAAACCCCTTTACTGGATGCCTGGAGATTCCAACACCCGACCGCCGCGGACTTTACCTTCTACTCCCACGCACACAAGTCATACTCCCGTATCGATAGTTTCCTCATATCCCCAGCCGTCCAGCCCTGGACCATTCACACACACATTGGAAACATTGCGTGGTCCGATCATGCGGAAGTCGCTCTGACGATACAGATCCCACTAAGGGCGCGCCCGTGGCGATGGAAACTCAACCCATGGATACTCAAAGATGCGGCCACGGTCCACACAGTGTCGGAAAACCTTAAAACCTACTTTGAACTCAACGCCACCGACGACATGGCGCCGACAACGGTTTGGGCAGCCCATAAAGCAACGATCAGAGGACACCTAATAGCAATAGCCACGGCCCTCAAAAAGCAACGCCTACGGAAAATGGTAGACGCCCTGGCTGACTTAACAAGACTTGAAACCCTACATAAACAAAATCCGTCAGACTCGCTCCTGACGCAGCTCAAAACGACACGGGACCTCATCACACAACTCTCAGCAGCAGACGTGGCGAGGAATCTCATGTGGTCCAAGCAACGATTCTATGAAAAGGGCAACAAGGCGGATTCACTATTGGCACGCTGCCTCAAAAAACGTCAGGAAAATAAGACGATATCGAAAATCCGAACTAGGTCTGGTGAAACGACGACAAACCCAGAAGCAATAGCCCAGGAATTCCTTCAATACTATACAGACTTGTACAACCACGCCACTCCAACGCCCACGGGGGAAATAAACCAGGCGGAAGCCACCTCCTCATTCTTACGACCCCTCAACCTACCCACCTTATCCAGCAGAGCGCAAGCCATGCTGGACACACCCATCGAGGCCGAGGAGATCGCCCTGGTCCTCAAGACACTGAAACCCAGAAAAAGCCCAGGACCGGATGGCTTCACAGCCATCTACTATAAGACGTTCCAGACCATACTAATACCATATTTATGTAAGGCCTTTAACTCGCTGTTGCAGGGACACAAACTCCCCACTGACATGCTGCGAGCAGACATATGCCTCTTACCCAAGCCAGGGAAGGAACAGCTTGACCCGGGACACTATCGCCCAATATCGCTCTTAAACACCGACCTGAAAATACTCACGAAGACCCTTGCCAACCGCCTCAACCAGCACCTCCCATCCTTGATCCACCCAGACCAGGTCGGCTTCATTCCCAAAAGGCAGGCGGCCGACAATACCAGGAGAGCCTACGATACGATCTGGTATACCAGGCACCGTAACATCCCATCGGTAGTGCTCTCGCTGGATGCCGAGAAGGCATTTGATCGTCTTCTCTGGCCATATATGTTCGGGGTACTGGCACACTTGAACTTCCCGATAGGATTCCTGAACATCTTACGGGCAATATACAATCGCCCAACAGGGCAGCTCCTACTCCCACACGTCGAAGCCCAAACCTTTAACATAGCTAACGGAACTAGGCAAGGATGCCCCCTCTCCCCACTTCTTTTTGCAATCTCCCTGGAACCATTGCTTCAAGCTATACGCACCCATCCCAACATACAGGGAGTTCGGATCAGGCAAGACACGTACACCGTAGCAGCCTACGCAGACGATGTACTTCTAACGTTGACGGACCCTGTCCCTTCCCTACACGCCATACTCTCTATCATCGACGACTATGCCACCATATCCGGCTATAAAATCAACATAACTAAATCAACGCTAATGCCTATCACAATATCACCCTCGCAACTCCGTCTGCTTCGCGGCTCCTTTCCCTTCCGCATCACCACGACCGCCCTTACATACCTAGGCACCAAACTAGCGCCGACACTGGACGACATCTATGGCCTCAACTACACGCCACTCCTCACAACGGCGTACTCGGACTTGCAGCGGTGGGACAGGCTAGGAATATCGTGGCTGGGAAGAGTCACCACCATCAAAATGAACCTCCTCCCGCGGTTCCTCTATCTTTTCCAAACGCTGCCCATCCCGATACTCAAAACGGAGTTCAATCGCCTCCAGGCAGCCATAGACAAATTCATCTGGAAAGCCAAAAGACCCAGAATATGCAGAGCTACTATGTACACCCCAAGACTCAGAGGAGGACTGGGGCTACCCAATTTTCAGCAATATTACCATGCTGCCCAACTGGCCCACATCCAACAATGGCATGCCCCCCCCGGTACCAAGCGCTGGGTGGACTTGGAACACGACATCCTGGGCTGGGACCAACCTTCCTCGTACATGTGGGTACCGCGCATACATCGACCACTCCCCCCACCAACTTCACCGGCAATCACCCACACTCTAACTCTCTGGGACAAGCTCAAACCAAAATATGACCTATCCTCCTTCCTCTCCCCGGTAACACCGATATACCGCAACAAACTCTTTCCCCCCGGGATGACGGCGAAACACTTCCTAGCGTTTGACCAGCGAGACATCTCGAGGCTACTCCATCTGTACCGTCAGGGGGAAATATTCAGGTATGACGAACTTCCCCATGCGGAAACGCTGAACACGGCAGATCACTTCCGGTACATACAGCTGCGGGACCTGGCGCAACAGCCCATGATCAAACAAGCGGGCACTTCACCACCGACGGCGTTTGAAAAACAGTGCTTCGACGCGCCGCTGCAACCGGGACAAATCTCCATTATCTACAATACACTGACGACTCACGCTTCCCAAGTCAACCTCAAGTACATCGCCGCATGGGAACGGGACTTGGGACCACCAGAGAACCCGAGTGACTGGGCCGAAATTTGGGAGG